TAAGCCACTGAGCTATATCCTTAGCCCCCCAAGTCTAGTATGTGAAAGTAGAGCAAGAACTTCCCAATGAGAACAGTCCAGTAATGTCAGCTTTCATCTGGGACATACCCCGCCATTTGTCTTTCTCCCTGTTTAACCAGGCTCAGTGTAAAAGAACTTCCAGGAAGTTTCATATGGATGGTCATGGTAAATCAGTTCAGAAGAAAAGTTGTAGAAATGGCAATAGCATCACCAGTATCCTGGGTGTCCAAGCGAAGGAGAAAGTTAATACTCTTTGAACTACTCAAAGCAGGCGACTGTGCTTTTCACCTCATGTTTTGAGAGAACTGTGGTGGTGGTTTGGCCAACAAGGCCATCGTAGGTGTGGCTTACTCTAACAATCCAGCAGTTATAAAAATCACAAGTGGATTCATTCCGTCAAGGAAAAGGGGTATGTGAATGTACACAGGTATCGGTGTGGCCACTGGCCCAGGCCCCTCACAGCGCTGAGATAAAGATGGAACTATAAATGCGCAGGAAAAACAATGAGAACTAATTTCTTAAGTATTATTAAGTTTAACATTAAGGTTTTCATTTTTGACTCGCCAACCCCCTCCCTCTGTCTCTACATCTGCCACCTTCTGTACTCTAAGGAATTGTTGTTGTTGTTTACTTCTATTTACAGGAGAGAACCAGGCTGTGCATCTTTGGTTCAGGTGGAAGGCAGGGTTCTTACGGCATGACAGGGACCAGCTACAGTGCATGATTTGGGGACCGGGGAGATAGCTCAGCAGAATAAACACTTGCCTGGCAAGTGCAAGGGCCTGAGTTTAATCCCTGGTTCCGGAAGGAAAAAAACCAAAAAAAACAGTGCATGATTTGGGGTGGGGGGGAGTGAAGCTCTCACTCCAGCCAGCGTTCAGGAATGACAAGGCAGTGCTTGTTCCAGCCACAGAGACAAAGTTGCGATGGAACTTCAGTCCCTCTCTTTGCAGTCATCAGCCTGTTCATATTTCACAACATTTAAGTTCTTCAGAAGTAAGCTTTCCAGAAGAGTTCAGTAGGCCACACACTCGCTTCCTCCCTGGCTTTGCCCTTTCCTCATGGAAGGCAGGCAGGAACAGAAGTGGAGATGTTAAAACTTGACCGTGCCTGGCTTCCAGGCCAGCCCCCACCAACTGTCATGCAAGAGCTGAAAGTAGGGTTCAGACCCGTGAGGAAGAACCATCACACAAGTGTGTACTGTCTGGACACCCTACCCAGCCAGCCACTCCTGAAGCTACAGGAGACCTCCCTAAGCAGAGGAGTAGAACTGGATTGCACTTATTTGGAAGAACAAATAAGGATTTAGAAGTCGGTGTCTACTGATTGTCTTTTTTCTTTTGGCTTGAGATTTTCATGGTTCATGGTTTGTGGTGCACCAAGTGATTTTTTAATTGAAACTCAAACTTTCCTTTACTGTGTTGTGCTATGAGCTGTTAAATCTTGTTGAAACGCTCTGCTTTCACTGGCACTGTCTGACACTTTTCCAGCATGGAAGCAGAGAGTGCCACCTTGCCACTCTTGTGACAAGAGGTGAAAATCCAGGTTTTCCACTCCTTTTCTCTTGACACACAGTGGTGGTGGCAACTCGTGACTGTTGGGTAAAGATAGAATTCCCAGAGCCCCCGTGGGCTGCACTGAAGGCATAGGGAGGGTGGCCCTGTTCCCAGTGTGGGTTGGTTTGACACCACCGAGTAGTAGGTGGGGGAGGGTTGTAGCCATGTCGGGTGGAAATCCACTCTGCTCACATGGGCTCCGCCAACACTGAAAGTGCTTCCTGACCAGCTGGCAGGCACAGAGGTCCTGGCTTCGGACTTGGTCTTCTGTGACTCTGCTGTGATGGTGTACTGGGGCCTCTTCTTGAATGATTGTGAAAGAAGAAGTCTGGTTTATCTACTCAGGTTTGCTAGTATAAATGGTGCAGTTTCTCCTGAGGTGTTTGGCCAGAGCACTTTGATTGTCAAAAAGTTTTCTGTCTTGCTAGCTTGCCCCTTTCTGGGTCATGCGGCTAGAAAAAGCAAGATTTGCTGATATTCTTTTGGTCTGAACCCGCTGGTTGTTTTGTACCTCCAGGTACAAGTATGAGAAATACAAGGCGAAAGGAAAAGCCAAGGATGTTGATTCCCAGGTTCTGAGATCTCAGGCTGCTCCGCCGTCCCACCTCACCGGATCTTGTCTTCCGCCTCTTTCCTTTTCCCTTTCTCTTCCTCATCTTTCTCCTCTTCTCCTCCTTTTCATTGTTAATATAAAGTATTGCATACAGGAGTGTTTTAAAATTTTTCATATTTAGCAAGAAGATAGGAATGAGTCTGCTCCATCTTCTTGGAAGAAGTCCTTTTTACTCAGTTTTTATTTTCCTCCAGTGTATTACTATGACAGTTTTAAGAAAATATAGACGAGATGAAAGAATCACATCCCCACACGCAAATCCACACCTAAATCAACACTTAGCATATTGCAGTATTTTACTTTATTGATACTACTCAGCATCTCTGTCCCCATTTCTTTTCTTTTTTTTTTTTTTTTTTATGGCTACCTGTATAAATTACCTATAAACACCTCTCGGTGCCTAAAATTAATTAGGCTTCATCCTCTATGGCTTTTCTTTTCTTTCTTTCTTTCTTACTTCCTTTCTTTCTTTCTTTTTTTTTTTTTTTTTTTGTATTTTAGGGACGGGTCTACAGGGTGTTCTGAGACTCACTACTAGATTGGATTTGTAGTGATCTGCTTGTGTACAGCTTCCCAAGGGCTAGGATTACAGACTTGCACCACCACGTCCAGTCTCAGTTGCTGTCTCAGTGCACCCCGGAGGTGGGGCTAGCACGGCAGGCCCAGGGATCCAACCCCTGGCCCCTGTGCCAGCTTGCAGGTGCTTTAATCTGCTGAGCTATTTAGCTGGCCCTAAAAATTTGAGGAGTTTTGGGGTTTTTTGGGCTACTTCAGGCTGCCTTAAGGGCAGGTCTGGTGCAGCTTCTGGAGCTGGGAATCGAACCACGGTCCTATGCGCCTGACTGCATTTGCCCAAGCTGCACTTTAAACAACTGAGCTATCTGGCAGAGGCCCCTCTATGGTTTTTCTAAGGTGAATTTTACATAAAGTAAATTGCATAAAATTTATAAATACCATTTGATCAGTTTTATATAATCCAGCCATTTCTGAGACAAAGTCCACCATTCCAAAAAATTCTCTCACACCCCTCTAAGTCCTACCTCTTTCTCATCCCAAAAAGAAATCACCGTTTTGATTTTCTTTCTGTGTTGGAACCAGCTCGTGTGTGTGTGTGTGTGTGTGTGTGTGTGTGTGTGTGTGTGTATGCGTATGTGCATGTGTGTATGTGTGCGTGTGTGCGTGCATGTGCGTGCATGTGTGTGTGTGCGCGTGTGTGTGTGCATGTGCGTGTGTGTTTCTCAGCAAGGTGTTTTCAACATCCATTCACATTGTTGCTCCTGGCAATGGTTTTAGGCAGTGGTTTTAAGCAAGATGGATAAGAAGGTCTCAGCTGACTCTGGGAGTCAGGAGGTTTTCTGTTCAGTTTTGTTTACCTCCTCCCAGGATTTATGATGGAAGCTGTCAAAAATGGAGAAGACAAAAATATTGTACCACCCAAGCAAATTTACCACCTCAATTCAACACTTAATATTTTACCCGATTGCGTATTTATCCATCTGCTTTTTTAAAAATTGCCACGTGCTATTTTTCAAAATTTATTTATTTATTTTTTTTATTTTTTATTTTTTTATTTATTTTTTTGGTACAGGATCTTGCTACGCAGCTCAAAATTGTAGTAATCCTCCTATCTCAGCCTCCCCAGCGCCAGGATTACAGGCGCGCACCACCACACCCCGTCTCAGAGGCCAGCGCAGCGCACTCAGGGTGTTAGGCCAGGCTCAGCAAGCCATACCAGATGTCAAAGCTGGGTCCTTGTGTTTACCAGGCAGGCACTTAGACTGCTAAGCTATCTCCCTGGCCTACCAAGTGCTATTTTAATTCAATGAATTACACAATGATTTATCTATTCTGTGCTGCTTCTAGTTCACCGCTATGAAAATTTGGTATTTAGGGTAGTATAAGCCATTGCTATCTCTTTTCTGTTTAGAACTTACTAGAAAAGAACTTGCAGTTCCATGCCTTTTATCATTAATAAGATGATAAAGGCAGACAAAGATTTTTTTGTTGTTGTTGTTAGATTTTTTTCTTTGTTTGTGATCCTAGGGACTGAATTCAGAAGAACTCTGCCATGAGCTACATGTCCACGCACCTCATTTAATTCTTAACTTTGTGACAGTGTCACTGTTACCCAGGTAGTCACAAATTTGCACTCAGCCTGCAGAGCAGCTGGAATTAGAGGAGCGTGTCATGGTGCCTTGCTGGAAGATTTGTTTTTTCACACAAGATATCTACACTTTCCACATATTTCTTCTTGTCAGTGGTAGCTATCTGTTTATTGGACATCAAAACTTCCTTGTAACAGAAGCAAAAGATAGTTTTAGCATTTTAAAAATAGAGTTCAGCTTCCTGGCACCAAGTTTCATTTTGTAAAGGAGAAACTGTGGCTTGAAGCACACCATAACTGTGATATTCATTACTGAGAATGCCAAGCTAGCCTCCAGAGGGACAGCCTATTTCAGGAAGACTTAGAAAATGCTATTCCTGCACGAAATATTGATGTAGTTGTTTCAGATGGATTCTGCTTTTTTTTTTAAAATTTGTTTGTACCTATTATATAAGTCTCTTACTTCTTTTTGATTTCCCCAAACTGATTACCTGAGGGGCCCATAATTTCAGGCTGATTGATTATTGATTGATTGATTGACTGGTTGATATTCCAAATGGGACAAAATAAACTGCAAAATGGGAAAGAATACACTATGCAAGCTTCCAATTGCAGTAGGCCTGCTTGCTGTTGGCAGTCCAGGAGGATGCTGCTGCTCCAAACTTTCATTGCAGCCTTTGTCTGACTTGGTTTTTTTTTCATGCAGTTGATGGCCTGGACAGAGCTTCCATAGCGAACTCAGATGGCCCCCCAGCAGGTTCCCAGACACCACCCTTCAAGAGGAAGGGGAAACTGTCCACCATCGGGAAAATCTTCAAGCCTTGGAAATGGAGGAAAAAGAAGACCAGTGACAAATTTAGAGAGACCTCAGCAGGTATGAGACCCAAAGCTCCATGGCAAGGGAGGATACCTTGATAAATTGTTTAAAAGGTAGAAAATTATGTTTTTCAGGGTTTTTACAGCAAAAATTGTATTTGAAATGAAGTTATTTCTTTTAAGGGTAAAAGCATTAAAGAGTTGTAATTTGTCCTATTTTTTGTACTGACTTTGACTTTCTCCTGTGTTCTTGTTTTAAAATTACATTTGCAAACGCTTGTAAGAAATTTTACAGTGTAAGGAGGAGGATGTAAAATAGAAAATTAGAGTGGAAATGTTACTCTTCAACATCCATTTCTCCACACACAGTTACACAGCTGTCTGCCCTGTTCTGGTAGCAGTCTTACCTTCGATTAAGTCGTTATAAATGTCTTTTTAGAACATTTTTTCATGTGCAAGATTTAAATTGCTGTATGAAAGAAAAAGCGTGGCAGTATGTATTGTTTAATTATAACTTTCCATCATGTCCTTGGGTTTGATAAGTGGGTCTCTAACCTAGGCCAGCCATAACCCATTGGCTTGAAGAATTTTCATTGTTAATTTAATTTGTAGATTTATTAAACCTTAAGAGTTACATTATTTAATGCTTTTCTTATAGATGCATGAGGGAAACTGGCCTTAAATCTCAGGCCATATCAAAGCTGAATTTAAACAAGTGATATATGTCAGTGGTGTTTTGTTTAAGGAAGAAGAGCGTTTATCTCATGATATAAGTCCAGCTTTCTCCATGCCTACTGTCCAAAGCAAATTTTTCATCAAAATTCCTCAGGTGCCACAGGCTGATGGTGCCAGTATATGTGTAAGGTCACAGACCTCTTGGTCAGCACTGAGGTGACACTGGCTATTAGTCCTAAAGTGGTGAAATAAAATAGAAAGTACTATACTCAACACAAGGGTGTGTGACAGGGACAGCAACACTCGCCGGAAAAGCAGTGCCCCCTATGCACTTGCAGCTTTCTAATTTCTTTGGTTGTGTGCTGTTTAACAGGAAATAATGATAACTGAGATTCCCTCCATAATTATCTTGGAGGAGAGATGGGGCGGGTGAAGATACAGAAGGAAGGAGACCGGCCCAGGTTTGATAAAGGCGTAAGCTTAGTAACAGGTGCAGGAGGTTGGTTCTTCTCATCTCTCTACTTGAGGGGTTAGAAAATAGCCATAATTTTTAGAAACAAAAATCCTAAAGGAATAGAGACTTGACTTAGGGGACAGAGGAATAGAGCTTGGCAGTAAATTCTCATCGGTTTCCCCATCTCAAAACTGGGGAGCTGAGTGAATTGCATTGTGCAGTGCCTTAGCTCCTCAGAGCCCTCAACTCCCCTGATTCCCAGCAGGCTGCTCTTTCTTCAGGTGCAGGTGAGGTGGAACCACAGCGGACTGCCTCAGGGTCTTCCTTTCCTGTTTTCCCAAGTGGCTGGAGAATCTCGGTCTTGCAGTTGCCATGGTTACCAGGATGGAAGTAGGGCTGCAGACAGTGGCGGTCAGACGGTGATGGTGGGGAGAACGGAGGACGGCAGCCTCTCAGTGTCTCTGTCGGCCTTCACCTGACTCTGGTCTACGTACTTTTTTCTCCTAGAAGATATCTACTAAGAAAAAAAAGACTTCCCCTTCCTCTTTCCTGTCACTTTCTTTTAATTATAAGTGATTGCCATTTTATTTCTATAGTTATTTTAAGGCTGTAATTTCTGCTGAAGTGTGTAGAAAGCACCAGGGAAGCTTAACAATATGAAATGATATGTAATCTGTTAGGTTTTTTTCATGTTGAAGAACGATGCCACACTAGAGAAAAATTGACATGTTTTGAAATGATTAACAAAAAGGTTTTCCTTTTTAAAAAATGATTTTAAAAATCAATGAAAGAAAAAAAAAGATTTTAAACAATGAAATTGAGCCAACTGAATACCATCAAAGCCGTGTACGGCCAGGGTGGTCTCTGAAGCTCACCTTAGGAAAAACCCACCATGCCCAAAGGTATGAAGAGAGGTGAACTTCTTCCAGGAAGCACAGCACCTCCGTGTGTCCTCTTCTCCTAAGCTCTGGCTTGTGCCGGAGGCAGGCCTGGGTTGGTGGTCCTTGAGTCAGCTGTGGTTCAGAATGCCCTTTCTCAGCCCAAAGAGTGTCTTGTCCTATGAGGCAAACTGGGGTTGTGCAATTTTCAGCCCCTGAGCCTTTTTTTTTTTTTAATTTAGTTGATACAGGGTCTCACTACACAATTCAGACTAATAGTGATCCTCCTGTCTCAGCCTCCCCAGTGCTGGGATTACAGGTGTGCACCACCATGCCTGGTTGTAGGGGTGGTGTGGCATGCAGTACCAGGGATTGAACTTGGTGCATCGAGCTTGCAAGGCAGGCGCTTAGACTGCTGAGCTACTTCCCCAGCTCAGCATTGTTTTGAATGCAGGAAGTTGCCTAAGTTCTCTGACTCAGATTTAGGCTGTCCTTAGGTGTTAAGTGGTAGGTCGAGAGTGCCCTCTTTTCCATCTACAGTCACATGTCACTTCGTGATGGGACACTCTCTGAGCACTGCCTTGCGGGGCTATTTTATTTTTGCATGAACATTATAAAGTATATTGTCACATGATCACAATGTCACATGACTGTGCTATCCCAGTTAGCTGTTCTCACTGCTCTTCTTTTCCTGGGTGAGAGGACCTTTTTCAGTCTGACCTAGGCTAAGGGTTTGTCCATTCCCTGACTTTAGAGTTCAGTATGCTGTGCGAAACTTTTTTCTTACAGAATAACATTTTCCTGTTGTGCTGTTTTCTGAGGCAGATGAGGTGTGTCCTCCTGGGCTTTATCTGTGTATGTGGCACCCCAAGCTAAGCATCAACACCTTACCGCACACAGTGCGCCCTGACTCCTACATAGTCAGTTTCCTGAGAGTAGGCCCCTCAGCAGCCTGCCTGTACCTGCTGCTTCCACCCTGTTCCCAGGGCCTGCTCCAACTGTGTTGGTCTGTGCAGCCAGCGCCCGCCGCCGTTACGGGGCACCCTTCTTCTCAGCACCCACATCTGTCCCATGGGCCCAGGCTCCAGCTGATGCTCAGACACCCGCCCAGCCCCTACCAGGTAGCACTGCCTGAGGATGGCATGGAAACTCCACACCCATTCTTGTGATCCGTGCGTCAGCGCGGCAGCCATGGAACATAGCAGCCACTGCTCGGTGTTCCACAGCGCATCCGCAAGCACGCTTCCTGCCCTCGAAGAGCTTTTTTTCGAGAGAGGAAGGCACTGCTGCGTGCTGCAAGTGGATACAGAAGTGAAGGCAGAGGAACTGCGAAAGTCCCGAGCACAGTGCTGTCCAGCCCAGCGCCCGGCCTGGGCCAGCTCTCCTTGCCATCATAGACATGGCTTTGTCCCGCACTTAGCCTTGGAAACGTGGATTCATTGACTGCTTCCTGTCTCCCACCATCTTCTACGTCCTGTTAGTTCCAAAAAGCCTTTGCCTTATTTCTTCCTAGTACAAGGTCCCGCTGACATCAGCCTGTCCTGTCCATGGTCTGGTGCTTGTCATGCCTATATTACTGCTGTGTAGCCTTTCCATTATTCTTGGGGATTTACTTGTAACTAGCTATAGAAAGCCCAGGAGGCCAGGTGAAGCTGGCTTCTGGTGGTGAGCCTGACTGCAAGGGCCACCTGAGCATGAGGCGGTGGTGCAGAGGTGCACAGCTGTCAGGACCCCCAGAGTAACCTAGGCAACAGACTCTCCAGCCAGGCAGCCAGAGCCAGGAGTCTCCTAAGACCTGTTCCAGAGGTAGGGAAGAGTCACCGGGCATCCAGGTGAGGGAGGGTGGGAAACAGGTGGCCTCAGCAGCCAGGGTACTGGGAGTGAGGGAATAGTATTCTTGGATAGAGGGTGCCTGGAGGAAAGGATTGGAAAGACTCAAACAAGACCCTGTACTTTCTTGAGGAAGAGGGGAACAGAGCTTATAAGCAGGACAGGAGCTTACCGAAGGACTCACAGCAGAAATTCACCGTGTACATTGGGACACAGGGAAGGGATTTAGGAAAGGGGACTCCTTGGACCGTAGGCCTGCAGTGTTGGAGTTGCTGTCAACACAGCCCAGGAACCATGGGAGCAGAGAGAGGAGAGTTCACCAGGGCGGCAGCCCCAAATGTGTGAATCTGAGGAAACGGGCTGTCTGAATCACTTTCTAACAGCTAGGACACAAGGCATGGCACTTTCCACTTAAAGGAAGAGAGGGTCATTTTGTTCAGTTTCACAAGTTCCAGCTCGTGATGGGCTGGCTCGAACAGGAAGAGGACAGTAGAAAAGCTCGCAGCCTGGCATCCAGGAATCAGAGAGAAGAAAAGAACTGAGGGCAAGAATGCAGCCTGCCAGGTCCAGCTATGAGGGTCCCGCCTCCAGCCAGCCCCTCCTGCTGACCACGAGTTAGCTCTAGCACCCCCATGATCCAGGCCCCTTCCACGCCCATGAAGCTCTGGGGGCTTTTAGATTTAAATCCTAACAGGTAGGCAAAGCACTCGTCACTCCCTCCCACCTCCGTCATCCTGGATACCACCAAGATAGAATATTCCTTTGGTGGAAAGTTTGTCCGTTACTTCTCAAGCCAAACACAGGTCTTGGCACGCTGATTCCTGAATAAATTTCAAACTCCCTGGATCCTCATTTTAACCCAAAGCAACCTCTCCTGCCTCACTTCTTCGACAGTCCACAGTCCTCGGACTTCCGTCGTCCCAGGACTCCCACTGAGCATGTCCTGGACCTTCCTGTCATCGGGCTTCTCCCCTTCTCCCCCCTGTTCCTCTGAGCACCTTCTCCTCTGGCTGCACCTGTTGAGTCAGGACTATGCCCTTTCCTCCCTAAACATTCCGGACCCCGATTCTGCGCCGAGTAGGAACCTCCCCTTCTGTACTTTGCTCTCCTTTAGAACGAGTGCCTGCAGCCCTCTGTGGTCTGGCTTATGCATGCTCAGATTCAACAAGCCACAGGTCTTTGGAGGAAAAGAACTTGGTCTGTACTGAATGAGTGTAGACT